CCAAGGGCGTATTTCTCGACCGTACTCACATTTGGCTTCGAAATTTTCACGCTTGAATCTTTCATAGTGTTTAGCGAGATCGCCATGTCCAGTCCTAGCTGCAATCAGCCTGTGGTAGGCCCATCTCGATAGAGCAAGTTCTGGGGGTCGCTTCCGAGTCATCATGAGATCTGAATCCGTATAGTGCTGGGGCGCATTTTCCTGCCACCATGCTACTACTAGTTCCCCTGCGCGCTCCCTGACAAAATGTTCAGTGATGCAAACGTAAATTTTATTCTGCGTGGCACCTCCATGGGGAGTGCTTCGTTGGTCACCTCATTTGGGAATTTTATTAGGGTGGCTTTGGCAAGCTTGTCTGCCATCTCATTTCCCTCGATTCCTGGGTGCCCTGGTATCCACCGAATTTCCACTGACTGAACTTTTTGACAGTCCTTGACAAAATTGCCGACTTTTCCCAGGGAAGATCTTGATCTGCCACTACGCAAGGCCTGGACAGCTTGTAAACTGTCTAAGAGTACCTTGATTGGGTTGTTATCAGCCACCAGTAGTGCTGCTTCAAGGGCTTTCTAGGCTCCCAAGAGTTCCCCATCATAAGCCTCTGCACCGAGCAAAGGGCCTGCGCCACTCCCAATCATTTGTCGTCCTCTGAATAGAATATAGCCCCATGCAGATTTGGCAAGCCCACAGGATGAGCCGTCTGAGTACGCACATAGAGTGTCGGCTGGCGAATTCTCTATCCAGTGTTTGGCTAGAGTGTCTTCAGACTGCTTGTAAAGTGTCGCTGATTGATAGCTGCGATCCAATTTTGGATAGAAAAGTCTTCCGAACTCCACAGCAGTGGGTACGTTCTGAATGCTGGTCTGCAGAATTGTCGAGTAACGTTCTGGATTTATGAACGATCGTTTCTTCTGTCCTGCGCGGAGTCTTAGGTGGTTTATGATTTCCTTTAGAACTTCTTGGGATTTTGCTACCAGAATATGCCACAAGTCCATACGCTGAATTCGTGCTGCAGCTCTCAATAACTTTTGATGAAGGATGTTTTGTTTTGCTTTGTTCATTAACGTGCTAGGTTACATGACTACCGCTGCACTCCTATTGGAGCTTCAGCACGAGTGGGGTTGGGCCGGGTCAAGTTGACTACCGTGAAGTACAGATAAACCTCGTCTCACTTAAATGACCGGACCACCTCGGACTTCACTCATGTGTTGAATCATACCAAGCCTGATGGTCCAGAACCCCGATGTAAATACGCCGTATTGCAAATTCCTCCTCAGCCTCGGCCACCACGCGCCCGAGCCCTTGACATCCTCATTGACTCCGAAATATAAATGTAGTCCCAGATCTCATCGTTGCTCTAGCCTTGCACCTTCATATCGTACAGTTGGGTTGTTTTCGTCATTGGGGATTTGTGTAATCCCCTCAGTGTATCTTCCCTTTTCTTCCTCCTTTGTATAAGTCCCGTTTCCATCATGACTTTCCTCATTAGAGCGTGTGTAGGTAGGTTGCAGGTGTAGGATCGATTGAGAAATGCTCTGTCGCAAGTATAAAAGGAGTTTAAGAGATGTCGGATGTTTGAATACGACTCCCAGACAGACCTAAATCCATTTGTGAATTGTGTGTTGGTGATGATGACTTTTTGTTCGACGTTGTTCCGGCTGTGAAATCTCTACCGACTTATTTTTCGACCAAAATATCAAGTGCAACTCTATCAGGTCGAAAACCCATCAATAAAAATTCATCCCACCCTTTTTTGTGACTGAATCTCGGCTCTGGGGGAATATTTCACTCTCAGGTTCGTAGAGGGAATCACTGACAGGTGTTCAGTCTTCGTCCTCCTTGATGAAGGATGAATGCTGCTAGGGTAAATTCTTTGAATTCTTTTGACTTAGTTTATCTTTGATCAGATGACGAGGCATCAACTCAGCCTCTTCAGTTCAGGATTTTTACGGGTTTTACCGGTTGCTCGTTGGCTGGGCTGATTTACGAGCACAGCCTTGCATGTAAGTGGGATGTGGCAGATGATCCTGGCTCCTGCTCAAGGTATGACGCTTAGTAAGTGTCAAAGTAAGGTGGTTATTAGCACACAACGTACATGGGCCCAGTTCAACCGAAGTGATGTCTTCCACACCAGAACATAGATTATTCTTGGGCATTGCTTGCGTGCAGCGATCGTGACTCTAGTCCTTTTACAAGAATATATGCAGGATTACTGGGGCGATTACCGCATGCTGACATCAACTGATAATCCAAACTAATCGCAAATCTTGCGAATCCGGAAAAAGAATAGATGCCCTGTGCCCGCCAAACCTGACAGTATACAAAATCAAATGGGTTCCACTAGGCCATGTAATAATTTGATAAACTCTACGCATGTCACGATGAAATTTTGATTGTAGAAGTTTTAAAATCCCCTGCGACACGAATCGTCTGACGAGGGAATCCATGGTTTTCCATCCATTTGGGAACTCGCTGTAAAATCAGAAGAGAGAAGCCTGCTGCTTTAGCCCAATCCCGACTGACCCCATGATCAATCCAACACCCCCTCCTCACATCCTCCACAGGCTCATACTCCTGATCAATTAATCATTTAATTTCTCTAGGATCTAAAATGTCGACATTATCATCAGCTCGCCTGAAATCTATAGGCTCGGCAGCGCCACTAGTCGATTCCCAAATTAACGCCCTACCGCCATCGCCAGCACCATCTACCCCCCAAGAAGGACGAAAGTACGCTTTTGCAACCGAACTCCTCTTTACTGATAACAAAGATCAGTATGGAGCTTCTAGCATGCCAATATATCAATCAGCTACCTTCAAACAAAACCAAGCTTCTGGCTCTTGTGAATATGACTACACCCGCTCAGGGAATCCAACGAGGACCCATCTCGAGAGACATTTAGCCAAGTTAATGAATGCCTCGAGGGCTCTAACGGTTGGGTCGGGAATGGGTGCATTAGACGTTATCACAAGAATCTTGAGATCGGGGGATGAGGTGATTACAGGCGATGACTTGTATGGAGGGACCAATAGATTATTGGCTTTCATGGCTTCAAACCACGGAATAATTGTCCATCACGTTGATACCACTAATCCTGACAATGTGAAGGCGGTGTTGTGCGAAAAGACTGCCATGGTTCTCCTTGAGACACCTACAAATCCTCTGATTAAGATAGTCGATATTCGATCTATCGCAGAGATTGCACACAGTAAAAATTCAAAGACTTTGGTGGTTGTGGATAATACTATGCTTTCTCCCATGCTCCTTAATCCTCTTGATCTCGGGGCAGATATTGTCTACGAATCTGGGACTAAGTATCTCTCAGGCCACCATGATCTCATGGCAGGTGTTCTCGCCGTCAACGATCTTGATCTCGGGGCTAAGATGTATTTCATAATCAACTCAACTGGCTGTGGACTCTCTCCCAACGATGCGTTCTTACTCATGAGAGGCCTTAAGACGCTATCTATACGCATGGAAAAGCAACAAGCAAATGCGCAGCGCATTGCTGAATTCCTAGAATCCCAAGGGTTTCGTGTGAGATACCCTGGGCTCAAGTCACATCCGCAGTATGACCTACACTGGAGTATGGCCCGGGGAGCTGGCGCAGTTTTATCGTTCGAAACTGGAGATTTGGAAACCTCTGAGAGAATAGTTGAGGCAGCAAGGCTATGGAGCATAAGTGTTAGTTTTGGCTGTGTGAATAGCTTGATCAGCATGCCTTGCCTCATGAGTCATGCTAGCATAGATGCCGAAACTAGAGCTGCTAGAAAAATGCCAGAAGATATCATTAGGCTGTGTGTTGGAATCGAGGATGTGGATGATTTACTTGATGATCTCAAGCGGGCAGTGAGTTTCTCCAAACCAAAAATACCATGACACTAATCTTTACAAAGCTCATTCATGCGGGAGCTATCAAAATGCCCCTAGATAATTTATAGGTTCAAGGCTTGAGGGGAGCTTATTAAATACCAATTAATCAAATCTGGATTTAGAATTCCCTCCTATACCCGCTTATATTTATTTAGCAAAACAGCGAGCTTGCAAAAAGTGGTATTTAAAACCTAGGCAAAATTTTAAATTGACTCAATGATGGTAAACAAACCAAATACATAAGTCGCGAGTCTGGTTGGAACGAAAGTATTGACCATATCAGATTTTTTCAGTACAGCGAAGTATGAGCATAGAGAATATGGAGTTCTTGTCTGTAGAAGATGTACTTAACGCTACTTGGGTTCATCACAAACTCGAACAATTGAATAATATATTTTATTTCTCCAAATTCGCCTCCTATGGTATTGTTTAGCCAAAACCGTGCAGATCTCGTTCCTCTCAGATCAAAGGCACGGCAACTTCAAAGCTCTAAAATCTAGCCCGGTTTTCTTGAGAATACCCGTTTCTCTCTGGCTCTGTCCTGATTTTACCGGTAGGTCCGTCGATGAGCCTAGTAATTGATAATTGCTGAAATAAACCTCCATATCAGCACAGAACTTGAACTGTGAGATGTGGAAATATTTCTCTTTATTCAACTGCAACTGCTGGCATACCGCGCGACTGCCCTCGAAATTTGTGGTTCAGTTCTTCCTTTCATACGTGCGGTAGCTTCTCGGAGAACTGTACGGTGTCTCTTAAAATCATAGGCAGCCTTGAGATGAGCAGATGAACACTCATGCCCGTTTAAATAGCTGACTGTCTTTGGCTTTGATATTAATGTGTACGCTTCAGTCGCGTCAGGAAGGAAAATTATCACCAGAAAATTCGTAATGGATATGATGGAAGGTCATATTGTCGGATATTTAAGAATAGACTGACTGGGACTAGCTAGGTCATGCAATCTGATAGGATGATGGGTAGGTTGGCAGAGCAGTATGTAGATACAATGCAAAAAAATCATACTAGTAATTATACATGATTATTTTGCTACGGTTTTATCGGTATCTTACCATATTAAGATATAAGCCCACACGTCTTTTACTGTCTGCGGCTCTCGAAAAATGTTTTACTAAAATCCAAAGTTATCGAGCAAAGAGCTCACATCTGGTTCCCGAAACACTGGTAATTTCATCGAATTTTGGGAAACCATATTATCCGACAGTTTCTGCAGCACAGGTGAGTCCAAAGTGGAGAAAGTATCGTGTTTCGTTGAAGTTGATTGGCGGGGTACTTTCTTGGTACTATGATAGAATTTGGTGGAGAGATGGTGGAATTCCCAGTTACGAAGAAGGTCTAGCGCAAGGAGTCCACTACCCATTCGAGTAAACTGCCTCGCGCTACGGAGGATAAAATCCCATTCCATTTTGGAAGATACGCAAGGGCCTTCCATTTTTGTTGCTCGCATGAATTCCTGTCGTAAATAAGTGTAAAAGCTTAGTGTCGCAGGGTCATGTTTTAAAAATGACCTTGCTTGGGGTTCTAATTGTTGAAGAGAATCTAGGAGAGTGTAGGTAGGCAGCTTGATAAGTTAGTAAGTCTTCTGTCAGGAAGGGCAGAGCCAGAAGTTTACCATCAAAGCCTGCAAAGAGTCACTTCTTCTACCCAATAGTTCAAGTGCCCATGATGTAAGCCATCTATCCCCCTTTTGAAGGCCCAGAGGTACTACCCTATCTTCGAGAAACTGATTCAAAATTGGGCCTCCATCACCTTCATAGACTCGAGCAACTGCAATCGCTAATTGAAGATCATTTAACTGGGTTGACAAAACATTTATAGCATCCTTGAGACAGTCTGCGAGGAGAAAGAAAGCCGCAGAATATTCGTAGCGGTGTTTTCCCAACAGTGCATATGCATTTTTTAAAGCAATTGTCTTCCATTTTTTATCATTAAAATTATTCCCAAGAAGCTTAATCGTAGCTGCTTGCTCTGGATTCCAAGATGCAATTCGCCATAATCCTTGAAGTACTGTCTTCTTACGAAGGGCTAAATAAAATAGTGCGCAGTCAATAGGATTTTTCATCGATGTCTTCGTATACTCGTTTTTTGCTATCTTCTCAAACTGTACTCTCTAATGGATGGTTAGATAGGTCGAAAGTGCAAGGTGAGAACCTACCAAAGTCCCTAGGTCTTTAATCCACATGAACATGCCGCTTTCTCTCGCATGTTCCCAAATAAGTTTCCCCCTAGAGTGACTTGAGACCATGTCTATGATTATTTCTTGACTCTTGCTGTGATATGCCCAATTAATCTCCCGCCACGATAAGCATAGTTGATTTCCCACACCCCGGCATAGGACGTGCTTTTGAAAAAAAAACAAAAATTTGAAGGCATTATCATCTATGGAGGGCCTTTTTTTTTCGATTATTACTGCGCACTGAACTAGTTCAATCAACTTTGTTTGCTCAATTTTTGATAGACCAGGTAGTGAGATTCTAGAAAGCTTCTCAGAAATAAATGATGCGATATCTTCGTTTAGAGTCTCAGGTATATGGTCATTATTCATATAGGAACAGAATTCTTTGGATTTCGTTGGATTCAACGTCGTAATGTGGCGTACCTATCAAATTTAGAAATAATATTTCACAAACAAAGTTCTGGACCTACATCGGTGGTATAAAATTCGCTTGTATCTATACCGAGGTATTTACTTAGTGATTCACCTTCGATATAATACTTCAAGGTCATGTATAGCTCAAGTATCAGGCGTCGAAAAAGAAGATATTTATTGCTGAGTATGCAGTGATAAAGGAATTGCGGATGATAAGCCGGAAGCGTACTGTTGAGTTGGGCAACGAGTTCATTGGCATGCCAGACTGATCCAAGGTAGGCAAGCCCAAAGTCTTGGACTACTGTAGTTGATAGCTTAAATTTGGTGCCGAAAATAAATATCTGACTGCCTGCAGCTGCAACTAGATTACCGCTGTTCAGCCAAGTTGAGTTGCTAATATTATGGGGAGTCAAATCACGAATACTAAATTCCCTGATAGTTACCCAAGCTTCATTCTTACTAAGATAATCGTATCGCGTTTGGACTAAGATTACCACTCGGGATGAGAGGCCAACTGCAAGGATTGACTGACTGTCTAAGGTAGAAGACCAATCTAAATATTGGATGGTCTCATGAGATTCGTAGTTTTGAACAAACTCAAGGCAATCTCCTGGTACGTCCCATATTTTTAATTCACTTCTGTTCGAGTCTACAATGGCAGCTTTGTGGTTTGAGCTTACTGATACAAGAGAGGGCTCGCACGTCCCAGTATCGATGGAGTAGGTCTGTAACCAATCTGCACTATTCGTCACTAGGTTGAGCCTGACTGCCCAGAGTTGAAGAACTCCAGACTTAGTCAGAGAGACAGCTACTTCCCTAGTCGGAGTGGCGGCCCCACAAATAATTTGATAAATATAGAGTGGTTCAGTAAGAGCGATGAGAAATAGTTCACAAATCTCTATGGGGCCAAGGAGACATAGCTTTCGAATACTTGCGCTATTGCCGCAATTATCTTGAAGTCCATCCATCCTAGAGAGTTGAATTTCCAGAATAACACCTTCCATTTTGGATGATAATATGGCGACGTAAGCTACTAGATTTTCGGTATCTTCAAATAGAAGAGAGGTACAGAGACCGTCTCCGCGATCGGTGTAAGAGAAGGACGAAAGTATTTTTCCCTGAGAGGCTCGCGCGTCGAGCAACAAGATTTTGTCTTGAAGTAAAAGGATGATAAACTTTCCGCTACTTATCAGACAAATTCCAATTATCTTTTCTGTTTGAGTGAAAGAGCTTTGGCATTGTAATGACTCTCCTTCTTGCTGGCCTGAGCTCTTCCATATCATTATTTCGTTACACTCACCTTGAGAAGCAACAACTGATTTATTTACATCAAGTATGATATTTTTAATAATTTCCGAGTGCCCAGTTAATTTTATTTTTGACACTAAGCGACTAGATCTGGGTGAGGGGTCGAAAAAATCTACAACGTTACTTTCGAACACTTCTAGGCTACCGTCGAAGTGATGAATTAGAAAACTTAGAACACTCTCAGGCTGCTTGCAGTAGTTATAAAATCGAACTGGGATCATGTTCACTTCAGATATATCGGGCAAGCCTAGCTGCAAGCCATCCACGTGTGTAACGTTAAAAATGCAAGTTTTTTGTAAGGTCTTGTAGCTTATGCATTCTAGTCCCCAGGCAGACATATGACCTTGGTCATCAAGAACAACACATATTTCGGGACTTCGATTTGCAACTTCAATTAGATGAGATAGTGCATGATTTTCTGCAGGTTCTTCTGTTTTTCGCGATTGAACCGCTTGTTCGGTTGCTAATCTGAAATCTCGACAGTCGATGATAAATGCGAATCGATTTGAGGTATTTTTTGATAACGCACGGGGCTTTATTGACTCTATCAAATCAATTTGCCCCCAAAGTTGTAAATGCCCTGGGAAATGGTCATGAATATCTGGAGCGACCCAGATACGTAGAATTTGATCTGCACATGTTGTGTATAAAACATTATCTATAGTTTGGTCTATAAAATGAGGCTTTCTCCAGTAGATATTTGTCACCGTCGCTGGATGGGATAGATAGCTGAAGTCAAATCGTGTATCGTCGTAACCAAATGATAATCTCTTCCATATCTTGACAAATCGGTCATAAACTCCAGTTGACGCTATGAAAGCAGAATCATATGAAAACTCGGCAAGCTTGACACGGTTGGCCAAGTCGCTCTTCCATATCGACGAGGGCGTACACAAGGAGGTAAACAGTTCAAGATGCGTACCTCCAACTAAGAGTTCTTCAGCGACACCCCATGACAGTATCATCCGTGAAAAGCTTGACACTGACCAGTCAACGGTAAAGGTATCTTGTAATGACCACTTCACACCAGTCAGCTTCCAATACAAGTAGACACCTTAGATTAGCAGAACCTTTAGGTTATTCTCATCTAGTCCACATGGCCTGTATATACGAATTGTATAGTCGGTTGACACAGCAATCTTTCCCGTAGTCTCATCGAATACGACCGCTCCCAATTGTAGCTCGGATTCATCATAGATAATTTGAAGCAGGACGTGTAGGCCAGTAAGGATTACTAATGTTCTTCCAGTTATGTATATCTAGGTTATGATCAGAGTTATTAGCCCGATGATAGGTATTATTGTTGGTATAATTGACCTACTATGTACCGCTTCCCATCCCAGTGACCCGTACAGACAGCTTGCGTCGCTGGGACAGGCTTTCCTGGAAGCGCCGCTCGCATGCTAGGCAACTAAGAAGCATTGCATCCTCTCAGCAGACCTAGTCGGATTATTAGACTGAGCCTGTTCTCTCACAGGTCAATCTAGTGGTCAAATGATCAATCGGCGCAGTCTCGAAATTGAAGTTGCTATCTATAGCCGCGTAAGACAGAGATTGGGACGTCGAGTCATGGGATCGCGCATTTAAACTGCGAAAATCCGGTAAGTTAAAAATTATCAATTGTGGCTAGGCAACTCCAGCACCGTCATTACAAATGTCAAAATATACTTTTCTAGTGGCATTTTTAGCTGTGCTCAGCCATGCCGACCTCAATGAAGTTCAGGATATTCAACTAACCCAGGTGCCGATTGGGTTGGAGGTTCAGTGGGAAAACAAACATATGGCTGGTTAGGCTGTTCCCACCTTCCTTGAAGGTCAGATGATTAAACTTATAGAATAGAGGAGCATCATATCCATGAATTTGACAGGCCATCCTTCTTTACTCTCCATGACTACGATAGCAATGGCCACTGGGACATTTATGAAATTCTCAAGACTTACGGCATGGACGATCCTTCAGCTAGGGATGTACCAGACATGAAGAAGAACGAAATAACGCGCACAATACTAGCATTGATTGATAAGAATGCAAACAACATTATCGAGAAGAGCGAATTCTTAGAGTTCGAAGGCTCGCTTCCAGAATTTGGGTTGGGACCCGGACATCATTGGGATATGGAGACAGAGTATGAAATTCATCATTGGGAAAAGTAAGTATTTGCAAGTGTCAATTGATGAGACTAATTGACCTAGATATCACGATGAGAATACCAAGGAAGAAGACTTGACGCATCAAGAGGATATCGAACACTTTAAACTCCATGATGAGCTTGAGGATGAGGCTCTTCGACAAGCAGGGCTCGATAAGCTCACTATAGTCGAGCAGAATATTCCAGCCAAGTTCAAGAGAAATAAGTGAGGAATGAAGCGTCAAACAATGGTGGTGGAACTACTTGGATCTTATCTCACCCGTTTCTGATTCTTAAAGATCTCCACCATCAGGCTTAGTTCACTTTACAATCATAATCTAAGTCCCCATTTATGTCCTTTTATCAAAAGAAAGCTTCTCCTGAGAGAGTTACTGGGACGCAAAAGAGGCTGTTGGGGGGCTTTCCTCAGATCAATTTCTGCCCTAGTAGACTACCAATGAAGGTTACCACCTCGAACAATTACCCTTCGTTTTAAATTCGCTGAACCCTTTCTTTGTTCATCTCAAGTCGTGCAGTGCGTCAAGGCTGAGCAGCAGTAATAAAACCTGCACTAAGTCACATTTTATTTCTTCGAAGCAATAAGCAAAACTTCAAGTAATTTTGGAAGCTCATCCGTAATTATTTTCCAGATGTGGTTGGATTGAGTCTGTCAGTAGCACTGATGTTATCCATCTAAGTCACGGCTGTTAGCCTCTTGGAGTGAATAACTAGAGAAGCTATCGGACTGGAAGTGGGTGAAGTATCTCAAACACAAATTCTCCACATTTACGCCACGTTGACTTGGAATTTAGTAACTACGCTGGTCAATACCCGGTCCGAAGGAAAGCTGAAGTATTCTTAAATCTTCCGTTAAGCTTCGGATACTTCGAAGGGGATACCTAAATATTAACCAAGCTATCGAATAGTGTCAAGGTAACACTCCATGAGTTTTCTTGTTAGGCTTTCTCAATATGCCATGAAATTAGTCGATATCGAGGAGATTGGATAGAAGGAAGGCTATAGACTCAATTATTACTAGGCTATTCGAGTCGATAGAAATAACTTTGGAACGAATAGTTTGGTCCGTTCTTACGAGTCAAATTGAGGTAACCAATTCAGAAACCAAGGTGGATTAAGTGCATTAATAGCGCATCTGAGGCTTGCAACACAAAGGTATAGTGTCGATGAAAGTGCCTTGTCAGTGATTCCAGTAAGGAGAGAAAGAAAGCTACCAGATAGTTGTGCAAACCGGAGTGCGTGATTCAAGACTACCATTCGCGAGAACTCGGGTGATTTTAGCATCAAATACGCAATGCCAAATTGAAGGGGCATATGACTTGACGAGTTCGACGTGACTGATACTCACTGTGTCCTTGGAATCGTGGAGCCATTGGTGAAGGATGGCTTCAATTTCGAGTCTTCTCGCAGAGACGCCTTTGAGAGTGGCATTCTCGTGCAGATGAAGCCAGCCATTTCTCCCAATGACTTGAATTGCAACCTGCCAGCTTAAAATACTGGATGGGAGCAGTCCACAATTGACGTGCATGACACTTTCTGCGAGATCAAGGCGTTTTAAACGCTTGCTCGCTAGTAGGTTGTCTTCTAGAAATACAACAATGGTCTCCACAATAGATGTGAGGTCTTCTTCTGTGTCCACTATCTTAATGCTCCACCCATTTGCAACGGCACCCCGACGCAGTCCCTCAACACTCCATGGATTAAGTTCCCAGCCCAAAACTCTGCCGAGACCCATCTTTACATAGCTAAAGACAAAGTAGCCGATTCCAGCGTAGAGATCTATGGCGGAGGCTTGCTTCAACTCGGCGTTGGGTAGAGGGTTGTCAGCGTGGAAACGAAGGAGTCTAGTCTTTTCCTTGATATTTCCGCGACTGAACATGGTGTACCGAGGTGCCCAAACCTGAGTGATGCCGTTTTGCTTCGTACTGACCCAGAAGGCTTCCTGGAGCTCGCGCTCGCCTGGCCGATCGTCATTCTTTAGGGCGGGCCCAAAATCTCCTGACAGCAGATGGATACCGCTTGGAGTACGAAGGATGTTTTGGCTTGCGTCGTTGTGCGTCGAAGGTTCGTAGAGCGGAATTCCGGCATTCATGGCGAGATGTGTGAGGATACCCTTCCCCTCCTTGCGGCCAATCTTCTCCAGTATCAGTTCGCAGAGGCGCGAAATGTGAGGGTCAGCACGAGAGACGTGGCTCTGGGTCAAAACTGCGGTCCACTCGCTATCAAAGCTGTCTGATGGCAGTAGTGCCATTGGAGGGTACACCACCCATCGCTTTGGCGCCTTAGCTTGCAGCTGTTCGACGCTGGGATGCAGAGTGTGGCGGGTCAGAGGCGGAAGAGAATCGATCCAGATATTGATTGCGCTCGTGATGGGATTCGGCTGCGTTCTCTTGCCGCCACGATCTTTCTTCGGCACGAAAGTTCTGGGCGGATCGGTATTCATAATTGGAGCTACCTCGCACGTAGCTGGGCCTAGCATTCTCCTCGTGACTGGGTTGTAGCAGGAACAAAGTGCTGTTGGCGACGTAGACGTCTGTCTAAGCGGTCTTTTCGGAACTAATCGGTCTTGATCGCGGGATACGGATTAGGGGCTAGTACAAGGCGCAAAAACCTTTCTGCTCATCGCCCTGAGTGTAAATAGAGAAAGATCTTGATGAATCACCCGCAATCTGAGATTGTAAGGTTCATGTAAGTAATTTCTGCCTGTAAACTAAGGATACCTGTGCCTCGCATTGTATATTTTAATAGAACAGGATGTTTTTATCTATCACGTGATATATAACCTAACACGTGCCTCTTAATATATATACAACTTGTCAGAATCTGATGGTAGTAACTTTTCATCTTTGTAGACAATCTAACTCACCAGATCTGACATTTTCGATCTAGCATTTATCCCATATCGTGATATATATCCACTCCCACGTCTCCCTTACAGCCCCGCCCAACAGTATCGCCCTCAGGACCCTTAAATTAACCATTCTCTGAGATACCGTGGCCTCATTATATTCTCGCTACAACTACCGAAAAAAAGCCATGTGCTGGTGTATGACAAGCTCACGATCTCATAGTGATCACTGGGTGCGGACATCAGGGCTCTATCCGAATCCACGGCTCACCCAAGTATCTAGAGAGCCGATGATGCAGGCGCCGCGAGCCACTCTGAGTGCCAAGGTCTTTTTTTTACATCAGATTTTTATCACGTATGCAGCTATCTAGCTATTACACAATATCAAGGAAAAGTACATAATAGATGACTCAATATTAAGCAAGAATACTCATGCCTTGGATTTCATTTGCAAGTGCCATTGCGAAGTTATGGCGGCTTTTTCTCCACCCCAGGCCAACCCTCAACCGTAAGAGTGCCAAGGTCGGCAATGTACTCGCAACCTAATATTTGGTTTCTCTATTATTTGAGCAAGTGATCATTCTTTGAATAATCATGAGATTGCTGTGGCTTTCAAGCGGAACGATATAGTTGCAGAGCCGTGCCCTGAATAGAGGTGACACTCTAAACACTGCCATAATTGGATGGAGCTGTGGTACATCGTCATGGCCGGTCTTCTAAATAGATTCTGGACAGTTTTAACATGTATACCACTCGAGATGGGAGACTGCTGGTTCGAATCCGGCAATACACAACCACATTTCTTGCGGCGCTGGTGTACATGGATGACGAAGGCATGCTTGGATAATCAAAGGTTTTGAAAAGTCTCGTCAGTGGATACTCCCGGAATAGAGTCGACTGTTTGTGCAAGCAAACATACCTCGTAGTGATACTTGCAAGTGAAACTAGGGTATGAGTGTCTGTGACGTCAGAAGAGTCATCCACGATGTGTACATAGCACTGATCATGATTTATTATTATTACGATAGGTCCTAAGCTACAGCTCTTTATCCACCATAACACTGATCATGTTTGCCGGCAAAGACGAATCCTTCACCTTCCAGTGGTGCCGGTATAATCGCTCAGTATGCTCTGCATGTCTGGGATAGCCAAGAAGAATCGCATCCAAATCGAAGTCGAAAGCGACCTCAAACACATCTCCATTTGACAACTTCTCGACAATGCCTCTCTCATCATTATCATCTGAGTCCTCAACCCATCTCTAACCACGCTTTATCTCGCCTCAACGACCAATAAAGAAGTGATCCAATTGCAAACAGGAGCTTGCCCCATTAATCTCCAGCCATCTCTCACTACATATTTACGACGTTATTTATACCCGCAAGGAGGAAATCAAGTCGAAAAATACAAAGCCTGGGTCTTAGCTTATGGGAGACTGTTGCTCTAATGGGACAAATAACTTGAGGAATAACGGGCGGCTAAGATGTGGAGCGAGAGGTGGAATATGTCTTTGAAAACCATACTAGAACTGCCATCTTCGCGGGGTTTTCAACTTTGGTTCAATTGTGGGCGTCATGACCAGGGCTTCGGCAAATTAGCCAGGAGGGCTTCAATTGTCGATGAGTCAACGGTGCTCCCCAGCGCTCTGGACGGTACAAAAGAAGTTGGGCTGAGCTTCCAAACAGCAATCGCGCTCTGTCAAGACTTTTCTGACATTTCGGCACGACCTTCGGGAAGGAGTTGGAAGGAGGCTAGAAAGGCAGAGGGTGAATTCCCCGAGGTACCCACAAGTCTGCAGCGCCCAGCTGGCCGGCCTCTTCGAACGCTTCAGAAGGGGCAATATATCTTCGGATTCATTCCTAATGTCGGTATCAGAAGAGCCCCGCACCCAGTGGTTTTTGCGATTTTTCCCGGCTGCCATACACCCGCAAATGGCCATCGTTTCGTTGGCTGGAGAGGGGAGATAATGAAGGGCAAAGGGTTCCTCTTAGTGTATGATCAAAAAAGGACTTGTGAGAGGTGGTACTGTTTGAGAGGAGCTGTATGGGAGGCATAGGAGGAGATTTACTACTGGCACGGATATCCTTGGCCTGTAGGCAGAGAGGACCTGCGTGTCCTACATAGTCATAGACTTAGATAGGACAATAAAAAAAAAGAAAGAATTGATCATGTTTGTCTGTTTTTATTTTTAAATCTTAGGATATACCTGTCATCTACCAAGAATTTAAGACCGATGTTCTCAGCCAAGATCATATCTATGACACGCCCAACTTGTTCCCACCGCGTGAATGGCTGTCAAAGTTGCAGTAGATTAAAACTAAGTGAAAACTAGAAAACCAAGACGTATTGAAAAAAGAAAAACTAAAGATTCTCTCGAGTAGAACCCTGGCAATGCTTTCCTCACACATTCTCCCATCCGTCAAATCTCCCAAATGACTAAATCTCTCAATCTCTTCTGAGAGCTAGAAATGGGTTGATGGATTTCCTGGACAATTGTCGGTCCCTCCTTAAAATTTGATGAGGTCAATACTGACTTCTTCTAGGCGCAATTGGCACTTCACGCCTGTTCCACTAGGTCCAAGGCCACAAAGCCTAGTTGCCTCGACATCAATGTATCTTTTAAAGCAGGTTGGCCTCCCGCCTCATCCTTCATTGTAGCAGCTTTCGCTCGGGCCGTTTTTGCGAATTCTCTTTGACTGGCCTTTCGAATGAAACCCAATTCCTCCTTGGTTACCGGGCCAGATTTGGAAGGTCGAGTCAAGCAGTCTCGTCTATCTAAACGGTGTGGGCCAACACAATTTCGACACTTACAGCGGCTATATATTCCGCGGTGGAATGCATGGTTGAACCGCCGGTCCAGCAAGCCGGAGCGCGGAAGAAATCACGCGTGGCGAGATGGCCGAGGCAGCGTCGAGGCTGGAACTTTGTAGCCATTCAAGACTCGACAAAGATGTGCTAGCCCGCTCGAGGGGCGTAGTCCCGAGAAAATAGGACATATTTTTTTTTAATTCATAGTGTATTCAGCTATATAGCTATGACACAGTTCTAACATACAAAATATATCTAAAAGGTTCCTCCATGTTTTTTTTCTCAAGTAGTTTTCATTTTACTCCATTTCATCTTCTGCATGCCCTAAGGCATTTAGTTGAATCCAGAAAGCAAAGTAGTGCTATTTTCCCAAAATGTGTGCCAAAAAGAAAAATAGGACATACCAGCTGCGTGTTGGCGCATTCGTACTGGTTCTTTGTAGGTCACTTTAGCAATATCTTCAGAAACTCACTTTGCATCGATAGTTCAGTGACTTTCAATATGTTCGCCTTCCTTGGGCAATCGGAAGGCGACAAGGTTTTGAGATGGTTGGATTTCGGCGTTAAAACTCGCCAATTTCGGGGAGGCATCTATCAGTCCTTATCTTTCTTCATGCTCTATTGCCACAACGGCAGAACCGTATTCAACTCGGAGTCACGAGGTACCAACCATGGAAGCGCATATTGTATGCTCCAAAAATGCGGACAAAATATCCGCGAGGATAAATCTACAACGCGGGTGATTACTTTCAAATGCTGGGCGCAGTCGTTAATCCACCTGTGTCGCTGCAGCCTCTTTCTTTTGAGCTGTAGCCGCAGGTTGTGTCACCGCTTTCACTTCCGAGACTGCAATTTGTCGCGGCTCATTTCGTGCCACCACAGGCCAGTTGCTTTCTTTTCTCTACACAGATGCGGACATGTCAGCTGCTTCGGTTGTTGAATCATTGAATGTGAATGCAGTCATCTAGCCATGACACATGATGAGGAACTTGTACAATTGTTTGATCTACGTCCTAACCCCATAAGCCCAGGCTCGCCATACATTTGCACTGCGAAGTGGGGCTTGATTCGGCCTCAACATCATACGCCATGACAGATTACGATTGAATAGCTTCCACCACTTAAGAGCCAGGAGGATCCCTGCGTACCTGGTCGTAAACATAATTTCACATTGAGCTGGCCCACTATTTCCAGGGTAGTGTCCATCGTCACCTTGTTCACCAGAATTATTATTTCCGCGCTGATCTCGCGGCCTCTCTCTCTCGAGCATCCTCCATGTGTAATTCAGATTACCATCCCGATCAGATCCACTGGCGCCATGGGCCGCATGCATACAAGATGCGAGATGTCGAGTTTCAGATGGTATAACCAGCAGCCACGCGCACTGATGGCAGTGCAATGCGACGCAGCAACTGTTGTCGGTGGAGACAGTACTAGCCTCTGAGCCGTTGCGGCTTCCTAGGACCAGGCCCAACGAATTCAATGCCGTCCCCGGATCCCAACTTTGCAACCTGAGTAGATGGTTAACATGGTTTTGAAATACGGTACAATGGCCTCTCTGGCTCGGCCATCATCATACAACTTATCTCTCACTCGACACGACGCGCCCAGAAATTTATTTTTGCTTAAGATCTTAATTGCATATACAGCTATCTAGATATGACATAATATCACAGAAAAAGTACGGAACAGATGACTCATTGTTATAAAAATAGCACTCATGCCTCAGCATTCATTTGAAAGTAGCGCCTAGCGATCGATCAGATAACACTACCAAGCCACATTACAAGAGCCAGTTGGGGCTCAAAGTTGAAGCCAATCTATTGGTATTTGCGCAGTCTTGCTACAATAATGGGTTCTGTTGGCCGTCCCGTCCAAGCCAACGACCCCCATGACTAAGTATTGATGCGTAGGCGATGAATACGTTTCGGGTCTTGAATGTAATGAATATTATACTTGGAAGACTGCTGCTTTTTCTACGTAGGAAGATTTACATCAGGCCATTGTAAGCTCTGTTAAATTTGTTATGATATGAGACAACGAGGTAGTCGAGGCTGGGGCATCGCGTGTGGCTCAAGGCTACAGTATACATCACTAGTGTACTGGTTAGGCGAGCATGTATATAGTTTCATAGATGTACCCACAATAAATGGACACAGGTTTAGTCTTATACTTTCTGTCCACATACCTACAGTATAGTATTGTATGAGGCTACTCACTGTCAACCACAAATTACAACATCATCCACTCCTCATCACTCCTCATCACTCCGCAATGTGACTTCCGCATAGCTCATAACCGCAACAAATTTTACTGATTCCACATCTTTCATCCTCGCGTCATCAATTTGACGCCACCTCGAGAAAGTCTCCAAAATTCGGGCTGCTCAAACATTGTTCATATGTGATGCTGGTACAATGAGGTATACGCGCGTAAACGAAAAAAGTATTAGATTACATTCAACATAGCGATACGATAACAATAATATAAAATCCATTCACTCACTTATCTGTACCGACTCTTTGGTGCCTCATGAAAAACTGCCAAGAAATACTGAGTGAGTGAGAACATTGTTCCAGCATGTGTATTTGATGCTCACTTATGGAAAGCAGTGATCCCTCGTTGCAGTTACTGTTCACAAGGCTGCGAAGAAGTTACTCTAAGGAGCAATTTGTTGTGATCAGGCCCACTTATAGATCACACACCTTGGAATGGCTAGTATTAGTCAAGTGTAACCAACAGGACAAGCGACCCTGTGTCAATGATACGTCATCAACACCCAGCAATGACAACACCGGTATCTCAGCCATGCACGATAATATGACGCAGGTATATCTATTGACATGATTGTTGAATGGCTGAATGACTGGGAGTTATTGCTATTGATGGAATATTTGTGTACCGTCTTTGTGTATAAATACTCGCTGCTAGACCTCTCTACATGAGTAACCTTTTCTACTCTTATTTTCAATAGTCATCAATATAGCAGATCTACAATACACATCCATCTTCTTCACGTTAGACTTAAGGCGCTCTCCTACGTCCACCCAAGCTGACTATCATACCCATAGCGATAATTCTTAGACTTCTCACAACCTCGTTATTACAATACAAATCGCCTAATTTGCGAAGTCATTTTCTCGCTGTCGAAGACGAGCAGATGCGGAGAATGTGATATTGACACGGTGGATATCTGTAGAGACCGACTACTGCAATCGTCTATCTATCATCAGATACGTAATGCTACCATGAGCTCGAACCTCCTATCTAAAAGAATAGGTCCAAAGTAGACTAGTTTGGATTTAGCAAGGAAACCTCGTATTTTCCTCGTAGACTCTGTTGAACCTAACCCAAATACAGTCTACAATGTTGCTGGTGTATGGATCTAGTTAAATCTCTTGGTGCGCATATTGTACCTTTCTACATGTGTTATTGTTATATCACAATCAAAAGCTCCGCTAGAATCAAATGAGCCTCATGCTCTTCACATCCCACTTAAACCAGCAAATTAGAATATCAATGGGCTTGGGTCTCCCGATACCGACAGAAGGGCTGGCTCTAGTGACATTACGACCCATTTGGAGCGTTGGAAGTGCTGCAGACGCGTGCTTGCAAGAGAGAATAGCCAAGGCTGACCCCTATGTGCCAACGTGGGGTATCGGGCAATGACCTAGGCTTACGATGAGACAACTCTTTTCCCCCCTACATCCACGGGAGCGTTTTCGCTCCAACATAATCTACGAGATGCTGACAGATGGGGGTTGCAGACACGGCCTACACCCGTACCGAACGTTGAGACGGAGGTGAATGCACGACATCAGCTGGCAATTTAAAATTTTTGTTACTGCTGGTCTCACCGTCTGTGTCCTCGACGAGCACTGGGCCATCTAGGCCAAGCCAGCGACGAAAATAGCGTGGTTCGACGCTGCCCAGCTACTCGGCACAAGCGAGAGGCGTGTGCGACAGCGAGAAAGGACACGGTAAGTAGACACGCACGAGGCAATTGAGAACTCCCCAGTCGCATTCAGCGGACTACTGGGGCGCGGCGAGGGTGTCATGACCAAGTCCTCTTGGGCCGTAGAGGTCCATATGGTCGTCATCGTCTTCAGGCTGTGCGGCTCGCGACGAAGACGATGCCTTTCGAATCTCACATCCGCCATGTCTCGCCGTTGGAAAGGGCAGAGCTTTCATGCAGGCGGAATTTGTGCTCGAGGACCGCTCAACGTGCCTGCGCAGAGCTGGAAGGAACCGCGAGAGATTTTGCCTCTGCGCTACACTAGCAGGGCTTGTATTAGATCGGATGACAAGGTAATGACAGGAGTCGGCTCAATCAGACAGAATTCAGCTCCGGCTCAGACGAGACTAGAGAGGTTCGGCGGTCCTGGGGCAGAGACAGCAGCTGTGATAGTCCTCGTCCCTCGAGATTCTGGCAGTGCGACATGCAGCTCGGACGGAGAGATTCGGGCTCGAGCTACCACGACTCTGGAAGACTAGGGAGGGAGCGGGGCGCGCGTCCACATTGCCATTCGCCTGCCATGTCCGCGTCAACTGGCAGTGCTCAGGCGTGGCAGGCCTGCGACGGGAAAGAGGTGTCCGCGGTCGACGCTTTTCTTTTGCTGCGACAGCCATCGACACCGCTTTCCTCGCCGCCGCAGCCAGCTCCCGACTCGGTTGCGGGCCTGCGAGCGTGTGGCTCGCGCGTCTCGGGTCCAAACTGACTCGCGCACCTGGGTCCCAGCAACTCACATCTCATGGAGACGACGCTGCCACTTCCTTCAGGTGTCGCTGCTGCCTAGACAACTGTCTGGCCTCCCCCGTCAGGAGAACCCGTTGCATTAGTCCGTCACACGCCCCATTCACATTCATCTGTTCTATTCAATCACAGCACCTCTCCCGCTGGAGCCGTCCACGACAGACGCCTGTCCGACGAGAGTGTATGCATGCTGTCATTCGTCAAGGGCACGAGCATCGTGAAGCCGCGCTTCTCCCGCTCTGCGCCAGTGCTGGGTCCGGGCGATGTGTGCTGGCCGTGGTCTCGTGTAATGGGGCATGATATTCTACTACGATAAGGTTCTGCTAGGCGGCTCCCCTGCAGAATAGTTGACGACCCCTGACCCCTGATATCTAAGCCGTCATGGCTGCTATGACAGTCCATGCGCCATGGACTCATCTGCCTTGGGGTCCTGGTCCAAGGTGCGGCGTCCAATCCGAGTGTTCTTGACGCTTGAGTCGCCTTTCCTTAGCCCTGGGTTCTGGGCTCTAGCTTAACTGGGATTGCATACACTCATCTCCACATGAGTCATCTGATCCTTTATCACCACCAAACCGATCGCTTACGAGAACCCCATTCAATAGCTGTCGTGGGTCCACGAGTTCATGCCTGAGGAAGCCACGTTGACAAATAACGGTACCAGTGATTGCATTAATCATCGTGACTTTTAGGCTTACACAAGGTTTAGTTACAAATGATACAGGCCCAGCAAACCGTGCCTACCCCAGTGCTGTAATAGTTGTTCTCCGTCCAACAGTTGGCCTTCATTCACAAGGTGTAGGGATAAAAGAGAAATAGGTCAAGAGAAAGTAAAGATACAAAATTTAGGCACTTATCCAACAGGTGCACTCTCGCCAAGCAAACGCCAATAGTCCTTACCGTGCTCATCCAACTTTCTGCCGCCGTAAATTCTAACTGCCGAGCGCGCTGAGTCGCACTCCGATTGTTCGGTTTATCATCTTTACCTTTTGAGGAATGACGTGAATTGCCGTTTCGCTCCCGCTATTTCGCTCTTCTTCGTCACTGTCTTCGGCGATCCTAGTTGGGATCTCCGAAAGACTGTTGTGGTGACCGCTTCTTTCGGGCGTTGTAACCGCACTAGTGTTGGACAATGCAGTACTCGAACGATTGTAGACGAGATCCGGAGTGGGAGGAACGCTTGTTCCGCAATTTGTAGTTCTAGGGCCTTCATCACCATTCTCAGATTCCTGGCCTGATCCCGCATCACAGCTGATAACCGATAAGTTACTAGCCCGACCATTGCGTGCTTGGCTGCCCATCCGCTGACCTGTTTCCTCGTGCGCAATTTGTAGACCTTCGACGGCAGCCGCACACTGTTCGGAGATGTTTCGAATTATATGAGCTATAGCGTCTGTCTTATCTTTAAGGTGGCGGTCAGCGACATCGATGATACTGGTTTGTGAATATCGTCGACTATGACGAGTCAAATTTCTTGAACGTGTTTCTACATCGGTCAAATCGCTACTCTTCGCATTTGGTGATTTACGCGTCGGGGTCAGCCTAGACTCTGAAGAATCAGACTCCAAATTCTTCTTTACATTTCCTGTCGCTTCATCATATTCTTCACTGTCGTTTGCATCATAGTAGCCGTTCTCGATGGATTCTGCGAGTTCAGGGCTCTTTCCAAGTGTGCGAACAATATGTTCCATGTGGTGAGTCTGCCCACTGATGAGGGCTCGAAGGTGTAAAACAACGCGCTGGGCTTCATCTCTTTGTCGCTGAACAGAGTTGTTTGTGTGCTGGAGGGCGGATAACTCCTTCTTATTGCGTTTACGCTCTCTCTCTAACTCCTCCGCGATTTCTTGCTGCAGAACTAAGGCCTCAAGAGCATCGTCACGTTGCTTTTCGGTTCCAGAGAGACGATTATTTAGACGGGCAACCTCGTCTTCATGTTGATCAATGAGACCGGTCAGTCGATTGTTCTCCCGCTTCAAATTTTCAATCTTCGTTTTGAGGTCAAGAGTTTCTTTTGAGAGTTGCTCCGCAAATGATTGAAATTTGAGAAACTGGAAAATTTAGCGACAAACGTGGAGCATCAGAAGAAGTATTTACCTGTTGTTTCCAGCTTTCCAATTCCTCGACAAGAAAATGATTGCGTTTATTAACCTTGGTGATCTCTACGTCCATGCGGCTCTTGAGGTTTATAAAATCTTGCCATGCTTCCGCGGCATCTCGGGAGTATTGGTTTCTTTCTCGCATAATTTCATTCAAGTGACGTATTGAGACACGAGTTTGAAGTGGCTTCTTCAGAGAGCCACCGAATACAGCTTTTATCCCAGAATTTCTTCCCTGTGAATCATAGTCAGATGAAGTAGTGTATCAGGACCCGGACACCGGTATCCCAGCAGGCCGGATTGTACTATACCAATTTTTCGCAAACGTGATCCATGACCGACATAATAGCATCTTGATTCCACCATTCGGGATCCTGTATAGATTCAACTTCGCCACGCATTACAATGATTTGCCCTGCAGGAACGAGTTTCCCACCACCGTAGGCTGACCGAAGGTGTTGCGGTACTCCAGATGGTGTGACATCGCCATTTAAAGCCTGAGTTAGTCTGATGATCATTTTATTTCTCTGACCCGAAGTGAGCGATTTTGGAGGACATGATGTCAGCACAAAGTTTCGATCTAAGTCTACAACCAAAGCATCAACCGGCGCCGTAAATACCGAGCGACATTCTGCAGTGACACCGAGAATATAAGGGCCAGGCTCCAAGACAAGTTCAGTTGCACGTCTAGCGTGAACAACTGGAACGTAAAGCCCGCTCCACTCGTAAACTCGAACAAATTGTCGAATTGTCTCAGCAACAACAGTCAGGATGGCGGGATAGTGGCTGATGAGGATAATACGACGAGTTGCAGATACGGCAGCTTCAATCACACCGACTATATTAGGAATGGATAAGCAAGAGAATATTGGCCACATGGAGAAGTTTTGAAACCCTGTCGGCGAGGAAGGAAATTGATAGCAAAGGGCATAATCTTTCATGTCGATTCGCACCAAGTCGTTCAACCTAGGGGCTGGAAAGCTAAGAATGCGTGATACTTCTTCGGCGTGAAAAAGGTTGGTGGCTTTATTCCAATGAATCCACATACCGCGGATGTAGTCTCCAAGAAGGTTGTAAAGGGGATATCTGGAAAGAAAGGAAAGACAGTAAGGAATCCAATAAATTTCGTCTGGAGCATCATAGAAGTCTGGTTCTATTCTTCTTCTAAATTCACGGATAGTCTCCCCCCTTTTTTCATCAGCCTTAGACCAAACACGTAGCGCAATTCCATAGAGAGTTTGTGAAGAGTCTTGTTGAAGCACAAAGGAGTGATGTACGCAGTGAGGTTGACTGCGTCCAGTACAAATTTCAATATCGTGTGGGAAGCAGGCCTATGAAACTGTTAACAACATGAGCTGGCATGGGAGGGAGAAATTTACTCTCATTGCTGCATGAAGGTACCTCGGCACGTCGTGGTCTTGTTCTATGCGAGGACTACTTCCAAGGATCTCCGGGAGCCAGAACTGTCCTATCGCACCTTTCATGTGTCCGATTTTTCCTTGAGGTGGCGCCGGCGCTCTTGTCCATTGTGACGGCTCTCTTCCGACTCCGCATACCATGTAAGCGTGAGTAAGAGTTTTTGGTGTTCTCGGATTTGGCTTGATAGTCAGGGTGTTCGCAATTGGCTGCGTTATTCGCGAGTGTAAGGATGATGTCCGACTCGGGACGATAAAATTGTTGTCATTTTGATCGCGAGTTGTTGGACGAGCTTCACGGTCGCTTGTGGTCGGCCGGGTGCTGGAGGAATGATGATTGAGGGAAGTGCCCATTTCTTAAAGTCTCTCTATTATGTTATGTCTCTTGAGACCGCTAGTATGTAGCAGAACCAGATGAGTGCTCTGCTATTTGGTGAACAAAATGGTTGTTGATAATAAGGTGTTACAATGAAGAGGCGGCTCGACACTGAGCTGTGCACAGCTATAGTGATAGCGATTTTTGCATCCAATGGCTCTAATAAATTGGATATGCAAAGTGGCCTGAACGTAGTGAACAAATGGAACAATAATAATGATGTAGAACTGGACTAATGAACGTCGGCGAGAAAAATGCGGTTTAGACGGAGCTGCAGCGGAGTGGGTAGTTATTAGGCTGCACATGTAGCATTTTTAGAGGTGACAGTCTCGGACGAGCTAGGGCAACAGGTATGATTGTGGCCGCAGGCAACGGATGATCGGAAGGTTAAGAATGGGGCCCAGGAGAGGGAGGATCAGGATCGACAGGCAAGGGGATCAGGTGCATCTATTTGGCACGAGTGGAATTTCTCCTTCGTTAACGGATGAGCCGCTGCCTAGCCGAATTGGTGGATTTTACGTCTATCATCAGCCTTGACCCATGGGGCTGCTTGTAGCCAATGCGGAGACTTTTTTCCATCGGTTGTCCGTGGCCCCTGCGAGATCTCCAAGTTTGGGTCAATTTCTCCATCGACAATGTGGTGATATTTAGGACACTTGAGCCGCTCCCTTGCAATGAAAAACAAACAAATCTACCCACGCCCATTCTCAATCCACAATTCCAAAATTACCCGATTCCGTACTATGTAGTTTCCGCCATGTCGATGATCATAATCGCTTCGCCTTCAGCTCATATTGTCAATTCAGCTCCACGTTCGTGAAGTCCGTTAGATTAAATCGATTGCTAGCTACCACGACGGAGGGAAAAGCGATGTAGCACTACGCCGTACCAGTAACAACTATGTTTTACTCAGCTTCGTGCTGAAAATTGCAGAAAGGGTCTATGAGCTCTCATGCAAGCCACAGGCTAGTTTATCAACGAACAATATACTAACATGTAACTGCCCTTTGTTATCCGGTACAAATTTTATTTCTGACTCGAGGCCCAGTATGTTGAGTTTCCATTGCACGGCAAGGCCGAGCAGGGTGTGACCAGTGCCACGTCTGTTCCAATCAAAAATTTCTTTTGCCAACGAAAAGCGTCGAATCAACCTGGGGCGAGTAGATTGGTCATGCCTCCTCGGATTCGAAAGGAAACTAGAAAGCTTTAAACTACAGGTCTCAGTTCCATTGTAGAAATATTCGTGGCTGGAAGCCATGTCATGCAGTCTCATTGCAACATGGACGAAGCTGCTAGCTACAACGAATGAGTCACCGGTATCCCTTTCATCCACAGAAATCAGGCCTAGGGTTGAAGATCTTTTGTACGAGGGTTACTGGCACACTCTAGATTTGAACTCCAGACTCAGAGCCTCGCCATCTACAACACGCCAAGAACATGTCGTGGTAGGGGCAAAGCTGAAGACTTTCTCCAACTCTGACCAGGAAAAGGCGATGAGAGGGTCAAGTGCTCCAAACTATATTTTTCCACTGCTTGTAGAAATCCGAGCTCCCTGTTCGATTTGTGCCCTTGTCGGGGTTGTAAGACGACCAATAAACTTATACACTTATTCGAGCCCCTTGAAACCTGCGTCACTCCCCCTTCTACTTCCTGCAAGCTCTTTAGTCACCCTACCTTCCTCCAACCAGCCTACGTGCTCGCGCAATCTAGCATTGCGATTACTATATCTCAACAACCCAAAATACAAACCTATTCTCCTTCAACACAGATATACTGTCGCTTGTTGCCAATGCCAATGCCAAGAAAATCGCCGTTCCAGCGGGGCTGAGGAGAATTTCGCTAGTCACCGACAATGATTACCAGGGCAAAGATTTCATCTCCGTTATCGCTTGTACCGATAATGTCTACTATCGGGCTGCGGGACCACTATGTACGTAGCAGTCTGGTGCAGTTGAAATACAATGAGTGTTACTACTGCTATCTGCCCAGAAAGCTTGGAGTATCGGCACCTGATATTATCGCATTTAAGGTTTGTACGCCGTCTTTGCATGCACTCAGGGCATGACCCTCAGTATCCATAAGAGAATATTAAGTATGAAAATTTACATATTTGCCAATGAGCTTTAAAGTCGCTGGGATAGCTTTGACACCCCTTTATAGCCTTAGACCCAGCAGGGTCTTAGGTTAAATTCTATTTACATGCAGTACTGACAACGGAGTGGTGGCACGCCTGTTATTGTTCTAAACTTTTCTTGTTCGGTATAGTGTTGTGTCTTGCATTTCATCGCCCCTTTAAATCTCGCATTCTACAGGACATATCTGTGTCTTATTCCTAAATTCTAATGGTGTTTATGCGGCGGGTTATTGCCGCCTAGTATCCCTCTTTCACGGCCTACATCCAGCGGAAACATCACTGTTCCACTTGACTACTGCCAAAGAGAATACTAGTATGCCAGCATTCTCTCCATCATCCAGACCATGCTAAGGCAAGTTCCACGTATGTAGTTTCGAAGAGTAATATTCAGAAATCTCTGCCTTGGAGGCACCTCTGAGACAGATATTCGGACTATTTCCAATGCAGAGCTATAAATATATTTGATGTTTCTATTCCACTTGAGTATATCACTATCTAGCACGTTGGGCTCCTCTCTGACCCAGGCAACACCTAGTTCAGTGCTCTTTGCCTCTTTTGTTAATTCAAAGATCATTGATATATTGCCCGTGGTGAATAGCCATTCAGCTCAGCATTTACCCGTGAAATTCGGCCACCTTTTCCACGCAACCTTCTACCAAAAAAAAGAAAAAAAGGCAGCAATGGAAATCGCGTGCGCGGGAAAAAGTCTCAAAAAACCTGCAGCCCCAGCCAGGCAAGGCCTTGACACCGGGACCATATGAGGTGCGCTTATTCATCTATATCTTCCTTCTTTGTAACATTCGAGGCCGACTTGATCCAATCCACCATCTTTGCATTGGGCGATGGGTACATTCCGGAAACTCATCGAATGGCTTGGTCCATAACATCTGATCTGATGGTGTTTAGCTGGATGATAACTGTACTGAGGGATTGTTCCGAGTATTGAAGACGACACAGACTGCGAGGCGAGTGGGAATCCTCATCGACATGAGGATGGTGTTACTCAATTTCGGCTCTGCAGACTCTACAGTGAGAGCTGGAGGTTCATAGAGGGCACAACTGATAGCTGCAGAGTTTCACCCTGCAAAGGTTAGAATACAGAGACGAATTGCCCAATTACTTTTATAGTCTTTGGCAACATAATGTCTCTCTAACCCAATGTTACTAACGCTGTAGCGTTTATCGAGAATTTGTTAGAAGTTGTCAAGGATTAATAGAAGGAAATATCTCGAAAAATAAGGGTTTAATTTCGGAAAGTACTTCTGTTGAGAGTCTTATAGACTATCAAATACTCTTCTCAATGTGAAGTATTACATGTAGTATTCCGTCAACTTAGTTTAGCTTGATAAAATAAGTCTATCGTTAAATATAGATTCTCAGGGCTTTAGTGATCCCCAACTCCCAGTGATCTGGCAAGAACCAACCACTCAATTATCGCAAGATAGCAGTTCCCAGCTAGTGGATTCCGGGAATCATTGAACCTAATATCGCCCGGCCAAGCTTAATCAAATGCAATTGAATCAATAACATTGATTTTGATGACCATACCTAGAAATCTGAACCTTCGTGCACACTGAGTCTAGATTTCCATCAAATTTAACTTTGAGAGGTAACGGAAAGCCGAACAATTTTGATGATATGAGTACTTGATGTCGGCTCCTTGAGCAAATTTGTGGGAGCTAGGGGTGCGCAGGAGACGCCGGTGATAAGTTTTTTATCTTATTTTACATCAAAGTTCTATACAGTTGCCACCCCACGGGCAATGGCGAATACTTCACCCTCTAGTGGTACTGGTGTAATCGCTCAGTATGCTCTGCATATCTGGGATAGCCAGTAAGAATCGCATCCGAATCGAAGTCGAAAGCAGACACATGCGTATCTCCGGAGGGCAAGACTGAACACCTGTACGCGGTGCCTTCTACGAACCTGGGGGTTAAATATTCTCCCAGAGCCAAGTTCAGTCAAATTTTGCAATACCGAACAAGTTGGCCCACGAGGCAATGATTCAAATACCTCCACCACGTCGTTTTTTCACTCCCAACAAGATCGATTCTTACCCTAGTTTCATCAAGTCAACAAGTACGACCTAGTACATCCTCATCTCTGACCACACCTCTCTTCGACTTTCTCTGGCCTCAACTGGTCGCCAGATACACGCCCACGCCGATATTTATACCCAACGGAGGAAGCAAAGCGTGGAGCACAAATCTGGGAGACAGTTCCTTGGGATGGATGTGAGAGGGATCAGGACAAGTTGATAAGATGATGCAGAGGATGGATATATTCTTGGCGGGCGTGAAATTCCGAATTTTGGCAAGGAGTTTTTACAAATTGAGCTTTGTGCGTGCCAAGTCTTCGGTCGCGAGAGTGCAGGCGACACTATAAACACCGCCATGATTGGATGGTGCGGTGGTACATCGTCTTGGCCGGTCTGCCAAGTAGAGTCTGGATAGCTGGGACACATATCCCACTCGAGACAGTAGATCGTCGTTTCAAATCCGGCAAAACACAATCACATTTCTCGCGGTGCTGGTATGCATGGACGACGAAGGCATGCTTGGATAACCAAAGGTTTTGAAACGTCCCTTTGGTGGGTACTTACGGAGGAGGGTCGACTGTTTGTGTAAGCAAGCATACCTCATAGTGGTATTTTCGAATGAAATCCAGAGTATGAGTGTCTCTAACGTCAAAAGAGTCATCCAACATGTATAAATAGCACCGGTCATGTGCCATAGCTAGATAGCTGCATACACAGTAAATGGTTAAAAAAAATGTCTACGGGTAACTTTTTTTTGCATCAGATTTTGTTTGTGTATGCAGCTATCTAGCCACGACACAACATCA